TGCCTGGTTTTAATTTCTCCTCCTTCACCATTCACTGTTGACTTCTCTGATGAAGATTACAAAAAGCAGTGAAAGCTAAGAAGCAGAAAAATAAAGAAGCTAAGGGCCTAGATAATCTACAAATTTGATAGTCATACAATGAGCTCAACTGCTCTAGATAGTCCGAAAGATACTATCTACCGCTGATATTTTAGCAGAGCAAATAAATAAAGCACATCCCTTAGTCACAGCAGTGTGACTCATATTTGAAAGAAACATGTGACAACCATCCACAAATTCTTCCCAAACTAGATCCTCGGCACAGATACGAAGATACTTCAAAATACAAAGGCATGCAGTCAAGGAACGGCTAGAGTTAGAGCTACCGAAACATTCAGTACACACTCAGTAAGTGCACACATCACGGGCACTGAAATGTAGAGATGAACAAGCAGCCTCTCTCTCCCTCAAGACCATCACAGTTTTGTTGAATGTACATGTAAGTAAGTGACCACAGCTCCCCGTGACGAGAGCGGTAGAGATACCTTGGACAGAGTGAAAAAGCATGGAAGGGACCATCTGGGAAGGCTTCATAGGAGTGTGGTATAACAGAAAGCACTTTGGAGGCAGATGAGACTAGAAACCAGTTTGGCTACTACCTAGTTGTGTAATTTGGCCAATTATTAAAGCTTTCTAAGATGGCTTCTCTATCAATAAAGTGAGGATAATAATCTCCCTGCAGCTAGCTTACCATAAAAAGGGAAGGAGATATAGTGTGTAAAGCAACCAGCATGGTTTCTTGAAAATAATAAGCACTCAATAAACTGTAGTGATATTATTATTACTATTGTTCAGTCTTGAAAAACGCTACCAGTGACGCCTGGTGCCCAGTTAGCAGTAACCACTGTATCACTATCACTGGCCTCAGCACACCTTGTTGGGTTCATGTATATTATGCTCAGTCTGAATTAAACCTCAGCTATGGGCTACCTACCACTGGGAGGGCAAAACTGAGCAATATAGGTTCAAGAGTAGTCAAATTCACAAGCCATCTACTTTCTAAAAGGTCAGAGTTCATAAAAGAAGAAAATGCCAGGGTCATTGCCTTAGTGATATCAATAGGAAGTCAAACACACAGGGAAATATCTTGTATTTGCCGCTACATGGGCATTACATTCATCAATACACATAGTAGCAATTGTTAGTATATCTGATTAACTCATTACTACCAACTGTTAACATGCAGTAAGTATGAAATGAGAAAGTATGAAATGAGAAGTAAAATTTGTAGGAGTATAAAATGGCAAAAAAAAAAAAAAAATACAGGCTACACAGGAGGCACCATCGGGCAGAGATGTTATGGAAGAAGCATCCTAAGGGCCCTGCATGTCATGCTAAAGAGCTTATCTTTAGCCTGTGGGTAATGGAGAGGCACCACCGACTTTAAGATGAGGTAAAATGTTTTAATCTATTATTTTACCTATTGTTTCTACTTTATACCCAAATTTAATAAGTATTACATACGCTCATTGTTATGCTTCTTCAATTCGGGTGTTTTTCATATATACCTGAGATATCTCTTTGCCAACTATGTAGTCGTGTGAAGTGAATCCCACATTGTTTAACACACTGATATGTTAAAAACAGGTTTTGTAGATGTTCCAGACAATTGACTACTTGCCTGTTAGGGATTAAGAATTCCCCCTCCCTTCCATTTATTCACTACACATTTAATCAACATTTACTATATGATATGCCCCATATAATATTAGACTCTTGGTAAAACCTTAAAAGTGCATCCTATATGTATAACTATAATATCATAGAACTATAGCATGCATCTTCTGTTCCTATAAAGATTTAATAAATTGTATTATTGATAGATCTATTTTTCCACACCACTCTTTTAAACAGTGACAGAAACTTTGTTTTTCTTTAAGTGATTACTACCCCTTTAAACTGTTCAATAAAAAAGAAAAAAAATTAAGCTGGTAAAAGGGTTTTAAAAAAATCTCAAGAGTCAGGCGAATGGAAGGTGAGGAAAATGAAGTAGGGAAACAGCCTAGTGAAGTGCCCTATAATTAAAGTCTGTACCTGAAGCATCTTCCAGATACACTGAAGGCTGGGTGCTGCCAGTAGAATTCTCAGGAAAGCCTCACTGAGCAGTATTAAAGCACCAGAGCAGTTATTTCAAGAGTGGGCTCTTTCTATCCCCGCAGGTTAAAATAATCACTGCCTGTCATTCACTGGTGTTATTTTTGTTTTCATCTTTTCTCCTGTTTTCTTTTTTTCTTCTTGGTGAGCTCTCTTCAGTGCTCTTTAGGTAAGCCAAGTAATTTCTTTAGAGTGGCCTAAGCTTAGCAAGAGGGAAACGGGGAAATGGGATGTACTAGTGGGTGCAAGCCTAGGCTCACCAGGCGTGGGCTCTCTTTCCTAGTGTCCTTCTCACTGTGAAGCCAGTGAAGCCTCTGGGGAACACTGAAAACTCTGGGCTCTTCCATCAGCTGAGGGGGACTACCACGGTGTGTGTGAAGGTTTGGTCAAAGCGACAGAAGAATACCTGAAAAGCTCTTACTGCCGAATGGTGTGGGTCTTTTAGTTGTGCACACCTTCGCTTGTTTTCACCAGTTTCCTTTGTATTGCTTTCTCCCTTGGTGTGCACATCAGAACTGCTCATGAGGTACACGGCAATGGGTGGCTTTCTTTGGGACAAACTCTCACCCTTGAAGCTGATTTACTTTGTCATCTTCTGCTGTGTCTTCTGGCCAGAATGTTAAGACCTCAAAGACTATAGAGTGGGCCTACAATTTATTTCATGAAGAAGGCTCTTCTTTAATTCATCCCTTTATTCACTCACTTACTGATCCAATTCTGGGTGGGGCAGAACCAGAGGTGGATATGACAAGGTCCTTGACCCAGGCAAATGACAACGCAGGAGAAAAGGTCAATATTATAAATATCTTACAGCAAGAATTTAAAAAAAGTAATGTCATGGCAATCAGAGCTGATCATTCTAACCACAGCCTATGAATTAAACATCTGGTGTTTTTCCAGGTAAAATGGAAAGCTGCAGTTATCATCTTCTGTTGATTTTTTAGACACTCTCCTGGAGCATCTATTTAGAGGTCAACAACTAGCACTACTTTAGGTGCTGAGCTGTAGGATTTGCTATAAATATGCTATTAGTTTCTGCAATCTTGCAATTAATTAAAGTGCTGGATATATTCCAAGAGGTATTTGGTTAGTCATCTCAGAGCCAATAAAAGATATTTTCCCCCTGTGTTTACTCCTTACCTGAACTTCTCTGACCAGCAGCTGTGGTTCCCTTGATCCTTGACAAAACTGTTTATTGACTATATAATGGTAGGGCTTCCCTTCCTACCCACCCTATACCTAGCTATGTCCTGGTTTCATGATGTATGTTTCATTTCTACTGCAAACACGGCAAGACTGCAATGGTCTCCGTATATTTGATTTTTACAGATAATCACTTGCTTTTACAAGTGTAGAATCAAAGAGTTAAGTAAAAGTTGACATACCTGTGACTTATTTTTTAATAGCAAATCATAATTGCGCCACACTTTCCAAAGTACCAAAGTTAACACATAGATAATATACCTTTACTGAAAAATCTGGCTAGGAAAACATAAATAACAAAACTAAAGTTGCTAAATTTCTTCATGACATATTTATAATTAATAACTAGATTCCTATCAACTCTGTTTTCAGAATTTCTAAAATACGCTGTTGATATTAGGGAGGCTTTTCAGCAACCTTAACAAGTCCTCAAATCAAATCAACAGAAACAATCTTTAAAATCTTTGAATATTCATTTGCATTTATGCATTAAATTTTAGCAGGTACACTTACTTTTAAATTTTGGGGATGTTATTTTTCTGCATAAACCAACTGCTAACAACACAAATGATTTAAAATGTGACTTTTTTCTATACTTTGCACATGACTTTCCAACAGCACTTATTAAATTTCTTATCCATAACTGTAGGCCTAATGTAATTACTTTATTCAATATAGTATAGTTATGGATCCTAGCATGTGTGTCGTTTTTTTTTTAATATGTCTTTATTGATTTCAGAGAGAGGAAGGGAGAGAGAGAGATAGAAACATCAATGATGAAAGAGTCATTGATCGGCTGCCTCCTGCATGCCCCCGACTGGGGATTGAGGCCGCAACCAGGGCATGTGCCCTGACTGGGAATCGAACTGTGACCTTCTGGTTCATAGGCTGACCCTTAACCGCTGAGCCACACTGGCCAGGTTAGCATGTGCTTTTTCATTTAAATGACCGCTCCCTGTCCATATTCACTGCCGTGGTTATTGTGGCATCTGCCCTCAGGTACCTGTTACTTGTGCACATGTCCGTTTTCCTAGTTTAAGGGTAAGCTACTTGCAGGGAAGCATTCTGATCCATGGGGAGTATAAAAATGAAACCATGGATCTCACATGATTACAGCTCCCTTTTTCACAGTGACTACGAGAAAAACAGATGGAAGACTACCAAACTCTGTGTCTCTTTCATTCTACTCACTCCTGTCTCCTGACAAAGGGATGACATTTCTAACATCCTCAGACTTACAGCACAGTATCCTTACTGACGGGGCAATAGTCATAACACAGGTAATATGAGGTTCACTGTTGGCTGCAAAAGTAATGTAGCATATTAGCAGCCCCGAACTAGACAAGGCTTCTAAATGGAGGAATTGAGGCAAATTTATGCAATAGAAAGAAGGGCTACAAAAAAGAAACAAAGAACTGTGACAAGATGGCAAGTGCTGGAAAGGCTAGGCAACAGTAATCAATGCTGAGGAAGTAAAACAAGATGCGCAGCCTGACAAAGAAGGGGATTTGAAATTCTCAATTCACTCCTGGTAACGTGGGACCACACACACAAAAAATGAGCAAGTGGTTTTAAATGAAGTTCATTTGATAATGCCGAGGCTGTCACCCTGTCTGGATTGGTTATTGTCGGTGTCAGCATGGAAATGGGGTGCTTTTCCTTACCTCCAGATGCTCTAAAATATAGGGCGGATTTGTCATGCCAAGCCTCAGCATCGCTCCCTCAGGAATCACTTCAACCAGTTTCCACAGCAGTGCGGGGAGATCGGTGCCAATATCTCTGCCATAAGCCCCTGTGTCTTCACTGGTCAACCATATCTCACAAACACCCTCTGTGAATCAAAGGAGATAATTAACAAATCTGCTGCAGAGCTGTTTCCTTCATCATCCAGCTGCTCACTCTTTTTAATGCACTATTTCTCAGCATTATTATGCAGGCAGTCTGGGGATTCAATTGCAGAAAAAAAGCAGCTTATCCCGTGGTAGCACTGGGTTATTAAGTTCATTTTATGAACACCAGAGAGTTACAACAATGCTATAAATTATCAGCGCATCCGATGGAGTGATTAACATTCACAGCCAATCAGTTCAGCCGTGTTTCCTCCAAAGCACTTTGATCAAGACTAAGGCTGCAGTCCCATCACAGAGAAAACCTGTTTTATTGACCACTAGAAGTCCTGGAACTGAACAGTCGCTCCAAAGAATAGGTACTATCAGCAGTTAACTCACCAATCAGTCTGTCACCAACCCAAGGAAAAATGTCAAGTGTGGTTAAGGTTTAACTCACAAAGTATTAATTATGAGGTATCCATTTCTCCTCTAGTAACTATTCTAATTTGTCTTCTTTAGTCAATTAAGAATAGAGTGCATCTTATGGCTTTGTTCAAAGAACCTGGATGATGTATAAGTATTTGTGTTGGAAAACCTGTTTACTGACAGCTTGTATCCTACTTTCCATCCATCAGACCTTAGGAAACTGTACACATGCTTTGTTTCTGTTGTTGTTATAAACAATCTTGACTTCAAATATCAGAGCCTACAGTAACTTCCTTCCAAAAATCAAAAGGAAATACTTTTAGATAACATCGTGTTATTTAAAATGAATAAAACGGAGTTAGCAATAGCCACCCAGGTTTGCAGGGCACAGAGAATGTTTCTGAATGCATAGTCAATTAAAGGATTAGCCTATTTTAAAAGGCAGAATGATTCACAAGTCTCAACAAACAATAAAATGGGCCTGTGAAATGTGCTCGTGCTACAGTGATCTGTGGCTTCTGAAGATCCTCAACACACACACAGGGCACACAAAGAACGACTAAAGCCTGACCTAGAAAAGGATGTTTCTGGAAACAATCTTATCATTATAATTTTTAATTGCCTTTAGTTGACGGGGCCGGAGAGTTTCAAAAATACATTTAGCCCGGCCGGGAGTGGCTCAGCGGTTGAGTGTCAACCTAGGATCCAGGCGATCGGGGTTCAATTCCCGGTCAGGGCACATGCCCGGGTTGCGGGCTCGATCCCCAGTCGGGGGGTGCAGGAGGCAGCTGATCAATGACTCTCTCACCATTGATGTTTCTCTCTCTCCCTCTCCCTTCCTCTCTCTGAAATCAATAAAGATATATTTTTTAAAAATACATTTAAATATTCCTAGCCAAGAGAGACAACAAATAAAACACACGGCTTTTATGTGAAAGTAAACTGAAAACTAACAGAATGCAAAAGCAAAAAGCAAAGATCTTCACTCTCCTTGACGCGCTCTGCAGAGGTGGGAAAGCGTGCAGGAAGCGAAGTCTCCAATCACTATTCTTTCCCTTAGAATAAGAGAGAGATTTACTTTGCAGAAAAACTAGCCAACCACACAAAAACATGTTCTCTTTTGCCCACTTGCCTTTCTGAGACACACACCCTCACCCACACCTAAACAACGATGAAAATACAAGGGTAGAAATAGGATGTTAGTTTCCTGAAATGGAAGATTCGATGACTTAGCAGAGAAAACAGGAGACAACAACAACAACAAGCTCCATTTAAGAAGTTGGAGATGTTTTTAGTATTTGAAAAGTGGTAGTGTTATAGATATATGGGTTTTCTTAATTTGAATTAAATATGCAGTTCCAGAGATTAGTAAACCTTTGCTTAGTTTTCATCATTTCATTTAAAAAACTGTATATTCAAAAGAAATAGTCTAGCATGTTTATAGGCTCCCTGTGTAGTCTTATAATTTTATAAATATAATTTTATAAATATTCTCTGTTCGTGGAGTAAATATTGTTCTGTTTAAAAAATGGATTGCAATTAGTGGCATGCTCTTATTTTAATATTACATATGCCATCGGATACTGGACTCATACACCCTTTTTTTCTTTTAAACCTTATCACAAAATCCACTCCAGGAAAAGAGATGGCTAAGTAACAACATAAACAGATTTTAAAACACTCTGAAAGAGGTTATAAAAACAGGACATTATCCATGATTTTCCAGTTACTGGCATTTGAGCAACACAATATGAATATTTTAAAATGAACAGAATAATTTTAATTTATAATTTTTCCATCCAAATGGTTCCACGTTCCGCCTTATGTAGAGAGAGCAGGTTCCTGGAACAGTGCCTTGCTGTTGCTAGATGAATATAGAAGGGGAAAATCACTATGAATAGGAATGGAAATAACATCCAAGCAGAAACAGCAGCCAGCTCTAAAGCTGCAAAGGTGGGGACCAATAGCCCCCTGGTGGGCTGAAACTTCAAATTAAATCACATAAAGAGGAAGCAGCTGTAACACTAAATCAGCAACAACAGGAATAATGGTATTGATGTCTCCAAGATCAAGGCTGCTAAAGTGCTCTATATAATAGCAACCTGGCTTAAAGCACAATGAAACGGGAACGTGTGCAAAATGGGAAGCTCGTGGACTTGGAGAGAACTGTGCCTGGCCAATTCAATCCAAAAATGTGTCAAAGATGATTTTGCTCTTAATCAATGTGAGGAAGTACAGATTCTGTAAGGTTGTATTTCAAGCATGAATGCTAATGAGAGCTGATCCCTCAAATAGTGAGGATATAGAAAGTCATTTCATACTAAAGGTGAAGCTAAATATGGAACCCCCGAGCCTGACATCGTTCTCCCCGGGAAGTCTTGTGATTACTCATAGGGCAGGCAGTTCCTGTCAGGTCAGCCTGCATACGCATTCACCAGGGGAACCGAAGGCTGCGGTCTGCAGTCACTAATGGACATGGGGACACGTGCCTGCTGCTGTCTGCTTACTTAATTGGCTGCACTTACGGACAGAAGTGCTTGCCTAAACAGCTTCATTCCTTCAGGACTTCAGTTATGAGCTCTATTCCTTTGCACAATCCTTTCTTTATTCGTCCATCAGACATTTATTAGGCCGTTACCTACTATGTGCCCTGCAGCAATTCCAGCTCATGACAGATATGGATTCATCATTAAATTTCTGTGATCTAAGATTGGCTGTTATCCAGGAGCTGGCAAGAGGACAGTGACAGACATCCTGGGAACTTCACATACATCCCTGACGGTGGTGGTGGGGGTGGGTATTGAAGAACACAGCCTTAGAAACCAAAATGAAGGGCGAACTAGGCTGGCTGGAAGTGGCTGTGACGTCAGCCCCAATGAGATAGGCCCCGTCTGCAATATAATGTGGACTTTGATTAATACATGTCAGAAAAACAAACACATGGAAATGAAAAAGAGAAGCAAGCAGGAAGAACTGAGATAAGAGACTTGAATGCCCAGCAAAACCTCCCATGCCTATAAAAATAAATACATGCAGAAAGAGAAAGTAGTGGCTGGAAAAGTGGGAGACAAAAATTAGCTTTTTTTTTTAAGCATCCAAGGAGAAAAATTACTTTTTCCTAAAATTGTTCATCTACCTGCCTTTTGTTCATTTTCCTTAAATTGTCCAGTCTGACTTCTAAGGAACCTTGTTGTGTTAATTTTGGTAAAAAAGAAAAGCAAATACTAGGGAGAAGTGAAATGCATCTTGAAAGGCTAAAAAAAAAAACCACCTTTAAAAAGTTTGGTTATTAGAATCCATTATCATCTTACCCACGTAATGACTGATCAGCCTATAGTTGAAACGCAGCTCTGTTTCCCTGAACAGAGAGCAACCTCAACAGCTGGATTCTGATCTTTGCTCCATAGTAATTTGAGATGACAGAGGATGGAAAAAGTAGGAGACATAAAAGATAATTTTCTCAATAAAATAGTCTCACAACAAAGAAAATCCTTTTTGAAAAATCAAACTTTGCCAAAACTCAATTTCAAAAGATCATAATTCACTATAATTTTCCTGTGTATGGGCTTCATCGTAATAAATTAAAATGCGGGTAAAGATTGATTTCATCTGGTCCGAGAAGTGATATTTCTCCAGGAGCTCTTGCTCTATCACGGGGGAAAATTTCCACCATAATAAGTTGCTTCAAATATTCCATTATGAATAGAGTCTCTAAAAATAAGGATCACAAAAATATAAAAACTGTAAACTATGATTAATGGGATCAATAATTAAAGAGCATTAGATGGCAAGAAAATCTACAGCAACTACACACAATGAAGAAAATCCCTTCAAAATCTGCTAAATCTCTCTTCCTCAGGACAGGTTCGACACCCTTCTGTCTTCTGCTCTGCACCATCCCTTCCTCCTTTCAGGCCCATCGCCTATTCTTTCTCCACCATCCCATTCCAGCCTTCATATTCCATTTTCCTCGATGGCCAACAGGGATATAAACTCAACATACATTGTTATATTAATGTACGTGCATTAAATTATTGGCTCTTAATTCCTAATGCTCTTTTTTAACGGTCGTGGTGCATATTAACTGGATTTTTATAGGTTCATTCTTCTTAAAAATAATCTTAGAGAATTCAGAAATAAATATGAGCCTCTGTCTAAACACTTAAAAGGTCATGGAAATTTATTCAATGGAGATTTTTCTAAGTAATAATATATATAGGCAAGTTCTAGTGATTTAGCTTATTTATTTAATAGCAAATTAGACAAAATAACTTATAGTCCCTTCTAATCCTATTACTAGACACTCAAGGATTTTATGTTTTCCTGTTAGATAAAAAAGGACTTAAATGACAATTTTAGTAAAGACAGTCTCTTAAGAGGACCAACTAAGGCTATCATACATATCATATATATGTGTGTGTCTGTCTATGTATATAAAGAACACATATACATACATATATATACATATATAAAACAATGATATATGACTGATAACCCAATTAATAGGCCATCAGAGAAGATAATTATTCATTAGCCAATTCTTTCAATTATATCATGTTTATACTACTTTTACAAA